GCAATTCTCGCACACGTGATCCCATCTCTTTTCAATAAATATCATACTGCACGTCAAAAAAAAATTATAACAGAGACATGGTTGGCAAAAAGTAAAGTAAGGGGCAAGTAGGAGTTATGCAGAGAAGAAGTTAAATAAAAGCAACCTCGTCATACAGAAATGCAGCTTCTAGGGAAGAAACACAAGGACACAGTGAACCCTCTTCTTCAGTAGCATGTGAAGAAGGTACCCACGTCTGATGGCATTTCCTGATGTGATTAGATGTTAAATGACTGTGCTTTGGGAGCAGAGTTAGAGAAACACCATCTGCCTGTGAGGATTTTCCCTCCAGATGGGCTTTGTTCAGCTTGACAAATTTAAATAAAGTTTGTTCCAAATCTTTCTCCACTTAAAGTATCTAAGTAATTCTGCCCCTCTGATGGGCAGCATGGATGTGCAGGTGTAAGGGTCGAGTCACTGCGAAGGAAGACCCCAAGAGTCGGTCTCTCATGCAAATCGCAAAAGGAAAACTTTATTATCTACGTATACGTAGGGTGGTCTGCACATGCAGGAGCAGAGCCCCCCTTTCAGTGAAACAGGCATAGCTTTTAAAGGCGAAAACCACAAAATTGGGTGGGAGCAAGCAAGTTACAGAAGCAGATAGCGTTGGTTAGTGTAGGTTAACCTTTAAAATAATTGGTGGATTACAATACCGGATGACCAGACGGAGTAAGTCTGGGGGTAGTTGGGGGGACTAACCTTGTGATTGTCACATTCCGGGAACATTTTTAAGAAATCGGGGCACTGTGACCTGGGACATCCTGTTGTTATGGCTTTAAATAGTTAGGCCATGGGTTTGGGAATGTATGTCTCTTGCAAGAATTTAAACAAGGGGAGGACCAAGGGCAACTTCTTGGCTAACTCAGTGGTTTTAGTTGCTTTCCAAGTAACAGGACCCCATCTGAGGTTTTTATGTTCTCTTTGTTTTAGGAACATGGATTGCCTAGGCTCTATAGCCACAAACTGGTGGGTGGGCCCTCTTACTGAAAGACATTTTATTTTTAACCTCATATATATATTCTTAAAATTGTTGGACTTTACATACCCCCCTTTTGATGTTGGAAATCTCTAATCTTAGAGATCTGAATTGTTAGTAGCTAGGGCCTCATATTGTTGGTGAATAATCGTAAGTTGAACATTACCTATCAGTTCGCGAACAAAACTGATAAGTCTATTAATTATACATGGCCCTATGATTAGTATGAGGAGAGTAAGTATTAGTGGTCCAGTTAAAGCAGAAAGCAAAGTAGTTAGCCATGGAGACCGGCCAAACCAGGACTCGAACAATCCTTGCTGAGCTTGGCGTTCTTTATATCTTTGTTCTAATCTTTCCCTAAGTTTAGTCATGGATTCTTTAACAACACCAGAGTGATCTGCATAAAAGCAACATTGTTCTTTTAAAACTGCACATAATCCTCCTTCTTTAAGGAAAAGTAAGTCGAGTCCTCGTCTGTTTTGTAGGACTACTTCGGAGAGGGAAGTTAGGGAGTCTTGAAGTGCCATGACAGATGTTTCTATAGCTTTTAAATCATCTATTGCAGCTTGTAACTGGCTCGTTTTCTGGTTATTATGTATGATGGCTGCAGTCCCTGTGCCTATACTAGCAGCAGCAGTTATTCCCATAATAATGGCTAAGGTAATAGTGACTGGTTCTCTTTTATATCTATCTTGGCCTAATAGCCTATCTTCTAATTCCATCCCCGAGTGATAAAGAATCCGGGGGAATATAGAAACCAACACACAAAAGTTAGCAGAGTTATTAAAGACCTTAGTAGACACACAAGGGGTAATCCCAGTGTCACATGCCATTTTAAACCTATAGGAGGTTGAAGAAATTTGTCTCTATCTAGGATCTGATAGACAATGGCACATAGGGGTTTCACCTGAGGAAGGGGATTTCCGATACAGGTTCCTTGTCCAGTAATCTCAGATAGGGTGAGTTTATGGTTG